TTGTTAAAGTAGAATCCATTTGGCACCAAGCAGTATGCAATTGGTTTTGAGATTGTGCTTGCCTACAGTAAGAAGTAATTGAATTTTAATAAATTCAAGGAAGTTGTCTCTGTTAACACTACGTAGAAGATATTAGTACATAATGACATAGTTGAATCGGGTTCTTTTTAACAGTGAAAAGAAGGCTGTTCACGACTTCAGATTTCAGTCCAAAACTGAAAAATTTAGGTCTTGGGGATTGTCTAGCTCTGTGTTTCAACCATAGATAATTCAGCGTATGCAGAATTTCTAGCTTTAGATTTTGACCGCTTTATAATAATATTTTAAGTTTAACAGCAAAGACATGCAAAAAGATGTAATGTAGAAAGTTGAGATTGGTTAAAGTCAGAAGGCATTGAGTCTGTTCATACTCACACTCTTGAAAGACTGAGGCAGCTCAGAGATGGGAGTACGTGTCTTCCTTCTCCCCGCCCTGTGCTCCAGACTTCACAATATTTGTAAATGTTGATGTTTAGTTTGTATATGTCTAAACCTATGTTACTCTATATATGCGTGTGTGTGTGTGAATGTATTCTTTATATGTAAAGTGCAGGGTTTCTGCAGTGGAAAACAAAAGTGTTTTATTTTTAGAAAATCTATGGCTACAAATTAATTTCCTTAGCAACTTTCCGTCAAACAAACAGCCTGCTCTTCCTCATTTCCAAACAAAAACTTAAACTGGCTTATTAATTTAGGCAATTTTCCAATGAAAAGTGGGTTCCAGGTCTCTGCCACAAGCATTTGTAATATGGCAGGTTGCTGAAAGAAGTCTCCATGCATAAAACATCTTTTAAAAAAATACTGTAATTTTGCAGTGATGAAGTTGGTGATATTTTTGCTCTGCAGTTATCTTCCAATTTTACAGAGTGAGGATTTGAGTCTCTCTTACTCTGTCATCTCTGTTTATTATTTTATTATCTCAGTGAATTCCACAGCATAATAAACTGGTATGTGTAATTAAGCTGAACATAGCTATATCAGAAGGAGAGGCAAAGGAGACCAAACTGGCAAGCAGCTTTAGGATTCAGCATGATGCAAAACAAAAAATATTGCCAGTTTGAGCAAGTTTTTACACCTAAACTCATCTTGATGTAATGCTTCTCTAAAATATAGCCCTTTGTAGCACAGGATGGTGCCAGCTGTGCTATAATGTAAATTTGCATAGTTGATACGGCTGAACATGAACAAATCCTGTACAAATAGAGCAGTGAAGAAAGTTGCTAAGTATCCTGTGGGAAACGAGTATCAGGTTTACTGATAGCTGTGTTGACTGTAGCTGTGGGCAGTTCAGCCTAATCATTTCAGCCAAGAGCTGACAACTCAGAAATGAAATCTTTGCTCCCAGTTTTAAAAGGAAACAGGACTGACAAAGCATGTGACTAATCTTCCCTTTTCCATCTGTTTCCATATATCTGTTAGAAAAGATAATTGTTCTGGCTCTGATTTTCCAATGCACCGAGATCGGCCAGGCTCTGCCCTTGGTGTAACACCATGTATTTCATGTGCTTTGCTGACATTGATGATTCTATTACAAAAGTACAGTGGTGAATATAAACAGATCTATGTTAATTTTAAGGTCTGCTAGAAATGCATGACAAAGGAATTGATTCTGAAGTGGAAAAGGACAGATTTAATGTCAGAATTTTTATTTTCAGGGTTTGTTTTTTCAATCGGAAGCTGATGCACATATCTTGTCTTCCTTTGTTTCAGATGCTGCACCTTCCAATCACTACAGCAGCATCCCTTTCATTCGAGTGACTACTATGTAGCTGAAATGGCTTGTAAGCATTGTGTGTACAATGAAATAGAGAATTGGGACCCTGAGTTTGATTGCTGCCTTTTTGGGCAGTTTAAGTAGCAGTTGAAGAGTTTCTGCTATGTGGATCCTAGCAATTTTAAGACTCAAGTGCAAAATCAGTCCTTTCCTAGTAGGATGATACAAATGTGAGTTCACCTGCTTTCAGCCAAGAGAGACTGTTACAGTCTAATCTGCCTAAAAATAAGCCGTAACACCTCCCTTAGTAATTTCCCCATCATGTCTGCGACTTCCTTTTGAGCTACAACATTGTTTTCAGAAATGACAAGTCTCGATTCAAAAACTGTGGTGTTGAGGAATATTGCAAATCAAGTATTCCAGCAGCTACTTAGTTTCACTTAGAAACCATGTATTATTTTTTAGTTAGTCTGCATAAAATTAAATTGTTTTCTGCACAGTTATAATTTTCTTAAATAGCTGCGTTTTGAAAATTGGACATACTTGATTGGAAAAAAGTCTCCAGAGCTGTGTCTGTTTCTGCGTTGAAGTTCTGCTGTATATTTTGGGGAGTTGATTTAACATCTCACCAGGTCAACAGTTCAGGGGCATTTTCATGTTCTTGAGTTGCTTTTGTGCTTTTTGTCAGTGGGGATAGTTAAACACGGTCTTGATTCTGTTCATTATTTTTATTTTTTTTATTAGATTCTGCTTTCCGTCTTTTCTATGGTACATTCCTGCAGTCATTTTCAGGTAATAAATATAACTGTTATAGCAAAATCGGATATCACAGTTTGACATCGAGGTTATCTAAATTTCAGGAGGAGTAGTTCTTTAAAAATGTTTCATTTTCACATTGTTTGAAGTTTACACAAGCATTTCTTTGTTAGATTGGATGTGTAAGATCTGCTGGTCTGCCTGAGCTCCTTCATGCGTTTCCAGGGTATTTCCACACAAATATGCTTAATCAGATTTAGAGGGAGTCTGTTCTGTAACAGGAACTTCCAAGTGAGCCACAGCTTTTGAGTGAAAAGGAGGAGAAGCTTTGAAAAAAATTATCAGGTCTTTGAATTGGGAAGAGAGGATGTTGGGCGGCATAGTTCAGGAAAAGTTTCTGTCCCTTTTCTGTGTGGGTTAACATCTCTGGTTTAGACTGAACAGTGCCTTGCAAGGGGATTCAATAAATTACTGTTAGCTGTGTGCTCTTTTTCAGTACTTCTAGGCATTTGGGCCTGTGAAGTCCCTTGATACAAATCCCCAGAAGTTCTTTTTCCTTGTATGTATGTAGGGGGGGACTGGACTGATGCTAGGAAAAAGGAGGAGTGTCCAAATCATGAGCTGTGAGAGAAAGCACACTGTCTGCTTTCCAATTGTCATTTTAAAACTATATGTTAATTTTAGATAATAATTTCGATTTTTTTTTTTTTTTTTTTTTCTTCTGGAGTGCCTGGAACACACAGTAAGAATCAGCTTGCCAGGGCAGCATGTTTTAAGAACTGAAAGAATAAATGAGAAGAGCAGTCTCTGAAACAGTACTTGAAGATTGTTCTGATTACTTAGGTGTTACAGCTTTGTTTTAGGAAGATAGAAGGGTTGGTTCTTGAATACTCCTGTAAGTGGAGACAGCCAGCCTGCAAAGACAACGTTCTTTTCACGCTAGGTGTCAGTGTTAACATACCTGTGCTGTAACCTCAGGTGTAGGTGTGCTGCTGTCCTCATGGGTATACCTGTGTTTAATACTTCAGTTGCATTTATGGTTGAACTGTCAAGACAGTAACTGCAAATAATGATTTGTATGCTGACCCTTGATGGGCTGCCATCTGTAAATCTTTTTCTTGTGAAACTCCTGTTCTTTTCGCCCTCTCTTGCACCAGGGAAACCCAGGAGAACCAAGTTGGTCTTTATTAAAATGTCTGCTACAATCTTTCCAATACCTGGATTTCTCTTTCATCTTGGTTTTGAATAAGATCACCTTGAAAACCTGGAAGATAGTAGATGGGTGCTAACTGCATCACTCAAAATTAGAACCACGGGGGGCATCATAGTTGTCTTTCATCCTCTCAAACTGTAAATAATTAGCTGACTAGCAGTAATTCATAAGGTGTCTCATAAGGTCATTTGTTGATGTGTTACTTAGGCATGTTATGGGACCACTCGGAGGCATGTGGCTATTGGCCTTGTTTCATTCGACTTACAAAAATTTTTTTAACTCGCCTGTGTTTCATCTGGGACTTTGTAGTGGTGACTGTAATGTGGATTTGCTGGTGGTTGAAACTGGTCTCGTATATCAGGAGGTACAGTCACTGTTTTCTGCCTGTGGCTGCAACAGTGGCCACAACCCATCTTCCTGGATAAAAAGCCTCAGTGAAGGTATTGTGGTTAGTAATAATAAATAGTGTGACGTGATGGGCAGTGGATTAAACACTGTTCTTTTTATGTCTTTAGCTTCTGCTGCACCTATTGTTCTGTTACTCTATAAGTGAACCGTTGCTTATTTACATTCTTCTTAGTGTATTTTTCTTTCAGGATTTTAGCTGTCAGTGGATTTGTGACACTGTGCTCTCTTCAATAACGCCTATAAGTGCCCAGAAGTACTTCTGTTGATATCAAGGGAAGACCAGCTGCCAAATGTTGCCCTTCAAAGCATTTGGTGTTTTGGGGACCTTGGACTCAAAGCAGGCGGCAGTTGTGTTGAAGGCCCAAGGTTTTATTGGAATATAAGCAAAAATGTTTTCCAGCCAACTTCTTAAAGTTTTATTGCAAGAGTAGGTGTAGCTGAAACATGTATTGCTGCTGGTTTTTCATAATGAGAAGTAGTATGCTTCTAAAATAACATTTTTGGTTCCTGTAGGTTGTCAGTGGCTGGAGAGGCTCAGGCAGCGGCAGGAGGGCTCGGCAGGTTGACTCAGACTGCATTGCTGTAGCTAAGGAACTTGGTGGCCACAGAGACCAGCAGAGTGCAGGTGGCAAAGTTGTAGAGATGCGCCCTGTTTGGAGTTTGAGTGTGACTGTATCTACAAATTAAGAAGTGCGCCGTTAGCTTCCATTTTTGCATATATGAGGAAGGGAAGTGTTGGAGGTACAATTGGGGACACAGTGCGTTTTTCATCTGAAGTTTTAAAGGCAACACAGAAGAGTTTGATCACGTAACTTCCCTTTTATTTTTGAGCGTAGCTGTAATGCAACTGAACAAATGGTTTTTTCACAGATTAGTAAAGAGAAGCTACAGTTTTCAAATTCTTTCTTCAATTTTAGAAAGCTGTACATCTGCCGAAGTTGTTGCCGCTGTTGATGTGAACACTCTTGCCAATGAAGTTTATAAGCACAACTTCCCCAGCACACCATTGTGGGCAAAGACAATTGAGGTAACAAATGTCTTTTTTTACTCGTCTGGCATTTGTAGAAGTAAGTTGTTTTCACTAGCCTGATTAGTAACAAGAGAGACAAAAAGATTTTACCTTTTGTTGTTATGAATATAGCAGTTTTACAGTAACTTTGATTTCTTGTGCTATGGTTGCTTGTTGAAGCTAAAGGGATACTCATGCTGTAGTCCCTTCCTGAAGGTCTCAACTACTGCGTCAAGAAAGGTTATGCGAATGTCAAGAGGAGAGGAATGGTTACCACCAATAAAGGAATGTAAAAAATTGTATTTTTGGGTTAAAAAAATATTTTCATGTATTTTGAAAGAATTTAATTAAATTACTGGGAGGCATGCCTTTGTTTTGTAGTTATAGTTGAGTTCGGTAAAACACAAGAAAACATACTGGATGGGACCGTTTTGCATTTTTTTGTGGGCTCAATAGAACAAACATTTTAGGAATTCTGTCCCTTTTCCAAACTATTTGAAGAAGAACTAGGTAAAATTGGATTCTGTTTTAATAACTGAGGGCCAAACTAGACATGTAGTTTGCCAGGATTTAGTTAAGTTGCTGTATCCTTCTTAATCTTCTTTTACAGTTTTACAGCATGACAGTAAAAGATACTGAATTTGCTTAAGTAAGACTTAAATAGGTGGCTAAAGGTTAAATGCTTATTCAGTGCTTGACAGTAACAGGATAAATGATAGCTTACAGTTTTATATGGGAAAGGAACAAGAATGCTTATGTCTCCTTGCAGTAGATAAGAGCAGATTACAGTCAGTAAAGTGTAATTCTTTACATTTATTGGAAAAAAAACCCAACAGCTTTTGTCTAGTTTCTGTGGGCAGTTACATTACACTTGCTATATAGATAGCCCTCAAAATATGTAAGGCAGCAATTTTTTTGTCCAACTCATAGTTGCTTGATGACTATCCTTCTTCTCTTTGCCCCTTAATATGTTGTCCTTGTGTTGGTTAAGATTTAGTCTAGAAGAACTTCTACCTGTGTAGTTAATTCATGCCACAGACCTAATTCTTCTCTGAACAGAAAGATTTTTGCAGAGTAGAGCTTTCAGCCATGCCATACCTTTGAGGGATTTTTACTGGGCAAAAACTAGAACAAAGTAAACTTAGGAGCTCACTACCAACACATCCTGTAAAGAGTTAAAACCCACAGTTTGGACCTGTAAAAATGACCATGCTAACATTTGAGCTACTTTTCTGTTCAGGTGTTTTGTGTTTTGAGACAATCTAATATTTTTTTCACCTGTTTTGAATATGTTAATACTTTTTGATGTACAGAGACTTCGTATCTGAATAATGATACTTTATTTGGAGGAGGGATGAGGAGAAATAACTAGTCAGTATTTTGATGTGATCTGCTGAAAGAACCACTGCGCACCTCTTCTGAAAGAATGAGTGGGTAAAAACCTCAGGATTATGTATAGATGTTAACGTCATTAGTGTGTTTGATTAATTTTCGAAGCGCTTAATGCATATTTGCATTGTATGGTTTGCCAAGGTAGAAAAGATTGAAGTTATTAGGTCAAATGGGAGATTAGGTAGTTTTTGCTTGATGAGACATATAGTGGAAGTAAGAAGGGTAGTTTGATCTGGAAGATGACTTGAGAGTTTCATACAGTTTACAACACTCAACATGCTTCTATTTTTTTTTTTTTTTTTTTTCCTATTCAGGGCATAACAGTGAAAGAATTTGACAGATTATCTTTTGATATGATTTTGATGAGTCCTCCCTGTCAGCCATTTACGAGGTAGATATAGCACACCTTGGAGAAAAGTGCAGTTATTGCAGTATGTACTGTTAAAGGAGACATGTTTTTGAGAGTGACACTATGTGCGGATCATCTGTGCATCTTTCTCTTCCTAAGCAAAAATGTTGTATCTCTCTTCGCTGTGGTGTTTACTGAAGTGGAAGAAATGCAGCAATTTGAATCTTAATTGTTGATCACGTTTCTTATAATACATATTTTAGTTCAGTTTAAGCTTCTTACAGCACACATTTTGCATACTGTATTGTTCCTCTAACAGTGAAATGCAAAGATTTTGCTGTTCAGAAGTGCTGCCTTTCCCTGTAGATGTCAATCTAACAGTTTCCTGGGGCAACTCCAGAAGAAGAACTGGAATGCCTCACTTCTGCCTGAGACTGAGAGTGTAATCTGGTGTTGGCTGTACTTTGAAAATTGCATGTGCACACCAATAGTTTATTCTGAGGAGTATTTCTGTTTTAGCCAGGGCTAGGAGGATAATGGTTTTGAAATGATTTTGTGGATGATATAGAGAAATATCATGCTGATTAAGAACTGGACTTGCTGAGATATTATTTGTCAGATTAGTTTCAAATTCGTGTCGTTTGATAGCACTGACCAGTGGAGGTAAGGTTCTAGTAGCTGTACTCATGCAAAGTAGTAGCTTTGTGAAAAAGTCTATTGATGGTGATGAAACTGCTTGTGTGAGAAAGTGTATCTCACTGAATGCTCTAAGATTAAAAAGAAATCCCTCCAGAGTGGTGCTGATCTATAAAAACGTAGTTGTGCAAACCTATGATGTACATAGGAATCATTCCTTCGAAATTTTTTTTGTCATATGGTGAAAAGAAAAAAGTATGACTAACGAAGTTTAGAGACATGCTAAAGCTCTTCTACTGAGGCTTTATTTTTTTAAATTTTTTTTTTAGGAGCTAATACAAGTATAAGTTAGGGGAACACAGGCCTGGAGTTACGTTAGCATTTTTAACCTTCATGAGCTGTCCAGTTTAATGTTATAAAATTGATTACAAAATTATTCACATGGGGTTCAGTCCTGCCAAATGGTGAGCACTGAGGCTTTAATTCATAGAAATAATTTAATATATTCATTGTAAAATAGAGGGGTATTCCCAGGAACCCAGTGGGGCTGCTTTGTTCTTTCAGAGCCAAGTATGTTCAAGGGGTTTGCTGGACAAGACCAGAATGCTAAATGGTTTGCAGACTGGGGAGTGGACTTCATTACTGAATGCTTCAATTTTAACCTCGCTGTGAGCTGATGGATTCCAGGGGCAGACTTTCATTCCTTAGAGCATTTCTCAGGACACTGCCTCTGTGAGCAAGTCCTAGTGTCTGTACATGATGCTTTTGCAGAATCTCTTTTTGAAACTTGAAGCAAAAAGTGTCAGCATTCTGTAGAAAAATGTAAGTCAAGTGCCAGTCTGCTCTGAGTAATATACAGGTGTGTGTTTATTCTTTCTTAGAATTGGCCTGCAAGGTGATGTATCCGATCCACGGACAAAGAGCTTTCTCTATATCCTTGATATTCTCCCAAGGTATATGTGAACTTCTACCTCAATTCTTAAGCCTTTGGTATAACTAAGTATGTTCTTTGTAGTTCAGTGAGAGAAGTCACCTGTAGTGTTTTACAAGGATACTGCTGGTATTATGTTACTTGTTTGTTTTCACATGATCATATGTAACTTAAAAATACTTGTATTTTACTAGTGCTCCTCATAGTTACTGTATATACTTTATTGTTTGGTTTTCTTTTTATTGTGTGTCTGTTTATACTGTGGCTATATCATAAATGAAAAAAATGAGTTATTTTCAGCTTAACATCAAACTTGTACTGACTTTCTGTAGAAGCAGGAGTAGGTAATATAAAATGGGCATTGTGGAAACGTGAAAATTTTTTGAAATGCCAGGTTAAAAAAAAAGCCTCGATTCAACATTTAGTCACCCTTTGGATAGCTAACTTTTGAAAGTTTGTTTAAATATTTTATTGACTGCAAAATACGATACATCTTCTGTCCCCTTCCATTCTTTCTTAAAGTGTCTATTCTGTCTTTTTGGTGCTGTTTCTGGGTATCTTGGGGACAGATTGTGTATTTTTGGTTTGTAGTATAATCTCTTGTTTTGAGTAGTAATACTAAAGAATTCAAATAGCACCGCGTGGTCTGCACAGTGTCCTTGTCTTTGTATTGGTCAGTCATTTTTGCCTGGTCAGACCTTGCTGTCTAATAAAATACCCTTGATTATTTGTAGTATTTATGCCTTAAATTTTGGAATAGTAAATCCAAACAAAGTGGGTTTTGTTGACCTAAATTGTTCTTATTGGGAGTGTTAAAAATCAGCTCCAAGTAATGCTTGTGGTCTTTTTTTTGGGAAGAGATGCATAACACTGTAAGAACCCCTCCTGGGGAAGTGGAACAAGCAGTTGCTCAGGGAGATTATCAGCAGAAATATCTGTTTCTGGATTGAGAAGTTTGTTGGGTACCAATTGGCAGAAGCCTGAGAATTTGCATCACAGTCCACCAGACACCATTCCTGGCAGTCCTATTTCTTCTGGAGACTGGGACAGCTCTTCTCTTTGTATTCCTTCCTTGGTTAATCCTGGTCTCAGAACTGGAGGGTGATGAAGGGAGGTTTGGCTGTCCTTTTAGATTTTTTCAATTTTTATTTTATATGAATGCTTTCTGCACAGAAGGAAACTGGTACCAAGAACAGCCTTTCTTTCAAACTGCTGTTAACACAGGGAGAAAAGGGTCTCCATCCTTCTTCCAGAAATGACCTTTTTGCAGCCAGCAACATTAAAAGGAACTACCTCTTTGCCCTTGTCATCAGCAGGTAGAGGACACAGACGGGCTGAGTGGCTTGGTTGGGATTGCCTGGGAACGCAATACAGATTCTGCAGCCTAGTAAGTTAGACAATTAATAGGTGAAAAGAAAGGTTATTATTACTCCCCAGCTTCTAGCAGAGACACGAAAATAAGGAGGTAATATGTGTTTCTGGAAGTGGCAAAGGATGTGTTTTCAGGAGTGAGAAATGTAACTTAGTCCTCCAGACTGACCGTTCAAAATCATGAATTATAAACAGCAGATAGTGGGTGAGTTAATAATTTGTCAGAATAATAGTATCTTCCTTATCCTTAAGGGAATCATGACCTCAGTGTTCGTTTCCGTTAAACTGAGACACAGTTAAGAGGCTGGCTGCTTTTGGGACAGTGTTGTGCATTAATATGGAAATGTTGCTTTCTGCTGGCTCTGAGCTTCGCTGGATAAAGGGCAGAAGCTTTTCCTTCACAAAACCAAAGGTTTAGATGCTGCAGGACATGTTTTTCTTCATGACGTTGTAAAGGAGCTGGATTTGGCTGTGGCACTTAATCTCAATGGTGCAGAGACCTGGCGTGTCCATATCTCCCTTGGGCAGTGCTTACTGTAAGCAGTCTGCAATATGTTCAAACTGTTGACTTCAGTTTCTCAGTTCCAAAGATTATGTTTTACTGAGATAGTGTTTGTGTATTTTTTTGGGATACGTCGTGTTTGCCAGACGTTGACTATAGAGTATTTCAGGCCAAAAAAGGGAAATTCTTAATATAGGAGTTATCACTTTGCATTCTAAATTGGTACAGCATGCATTTGGTTTATGGAAACTGTAAAATAATTTCTCATCGCTTGTCTGTTCCTACTGTATGTTTTATAATGCAATTTTGCTGAAATGAGGCTCAAAGATAGCCTGGGAAGACAAATTAGAGATATGGAAAGGACAGTTTCAAGATCTGGAAAAACCTGGAAAATCATTGCAGCACCCAGCCAGCGAACAAAATCTGATCCAAATGATCTGGATGCAGTTGACGTTCAACATGTCCAAGCCATATCTTGGGGAAATCTAATGCTAAGACATCAAAGTGCCGTTTTTACAGACACATTTATAATGTTACTACCTGCCAAGTACTTAACACATACTCTTTGTATGTAGTGATTGTTACTTGTCTCGTGATCTGTTGATCCTGTATGAGCTCTTGCACTTCAGGCTATACTCTGGATTCGTTACTTCAAAAATAAGTTGCATGGTAGGTGATAATGATGTTGAGCATGGTTAAACATATGAACAAATATATTCTCCATTCTTCTGCAGGGAATTTGGTGGCTGCTGCTGCTTGTTTAAGTTTAGTATTATTTTTTCACTATTTTTAGTATTTTTAAATTTGATGTAGTGTATTGTACATTTTCCCATTGCTTGTGAAATGCTTTAGTTTTTTAATTCTTCATGTGAGCATCTTTTATTGATGGCAGTTAAGAACGTGCTAAAAAAATTCTTCTGGGATTTATACCCGTGGAAGTCCAATGTCACTGACTTAAATAAGCATGGAGCTGCTGTCTGCTGGTCTTAGTGTCCTGTTTCTATATGCTGTTTGGTGATCCCAGTGTGTGACAGACATACTATGTCTACATTAGCCTTACTAGAGAATTAATCAGTGCCAGGGAATGTTCCCAGAGACTTGAATCTGAATCATCTATGCTTCTAAACTGTTAGAATGGTCCCTGGTGCAGTTTGGGCATGTTCCTTTCTCCAGAGATTTAATATGCTGGTTTTGGAATGAGCCTATTTCCAGACCTCTGCACTGATTTGCTAAACCTCAGGCACCTCCTTCCCCACCTCCCTATCAAAATGAAAAAGTATAGAAAATTGAGAATATCTGCAGTTTGAACTCTAAACATGTCAACATGTCATATTTCTTAAGGCAATTAGATGAATACTGGGTTTGATGTATTATTGCTAAAGTTGATGTGACATTTTGACATTGATTTCTGCTTTAAGCACTTTAAAACAAAAGGTTTCTGTCCCATGGCTGAATAGTGATTCCCCCCCCCCCCAATTATCTCTCCTCTTACAGACTCAATCTGTTGTATGTTAATATTATGCTTTTGGAAATGAACAGTGGTAAGCATTTTTAAAACTATATGCCTGGGGTATGGGAGAGTACAGCAGTTCATCTGAATAGAAATGATTTTTAGTGTTTTTATAATTACCAGCAAGCCACATTTTTAATTCAGTTGGGAATGATTTTGATCTAGGCAACCCTGAAAGTTGAGGGTTTTGTTTTGTTTTGTTTTGTTTTAAGGATGCTAAACTTTTAGCAGCTTGCATGAAGCGATAATACTTTGATCTAATATTTGGTAATACTTTGGCTACAAGAAATTGTAGTCAAACAAATCTGTGGATGAATATAAGGTAGTTTACATCATGTTACTCTGACTTACTGATTTTTTTTTTTTTTAAATTCCCCCCCCCCTTCCTTGTAGGCTCCAGAAGCTTCCAAAATACCTACTTTTAGAAAATGTTAAAGGATTTGAATCCTCTTCTGCGAGGTAAAGTCTAATTTATGCAGGTTTTAGTTTTTAATAAAAGACATTTTCTTTAGCACGGGAAGGCAGAATTTTAATTTCCTAAAATTTAAGTTGCCATCAGATGGTCCAGAGATACAGTATGAAGACTGTCTGTAATCTTTGAAATGTGGAGGAGGAAAGCTGTCAGTAAGGTTACCTAGTGACAGCAGGAGCATTCTCCTCTCTTGTGGACAAAGCAGGAGACAGGGGGTTGTGGTTTTGTCATTTGCTGGAATAGAGTAGGATCTTTCCATAGCATTTCTTGAAGCAGCTAGAGAGCCGGCACCCTGCACGTCGTGCTCCTAAATGAGTATGGCAGGCAGCTGGGAGACACGTTCAGCACTCTCGCTGGGTAAGTATCCTCTGTGAACGCCTTGAGGGAGGCGCAGGCTGCTGCTGTAGACCCTGTGATTCCCTAGGTTCTGCCTTCCTGGGCAGTGTTTGAACGAATTGTAGTTCAGAAACACCCCAGTCAGAATGCTTGCTTTCTCTTATGATGCTTGGGGTGACATGCAGTGCCAGGTACAGGTCACAGCTCCTGCTTTTTGTGTAGTTCCAGCCTAGTGCAGTCTGCAGGGGGTAGAAAAGGCAAGTTTTTTTGGGGACATTTCCATTTCACTGTTTTTTTTTTTTTCTTTTTTTTTTTCCTATCCTATTGTTTAGAAAGTACATTCCTACCTCACTGTTGTTATCAAAGACACTGTTTTTTGTCATCCCTTGAGTTAGCCCTTTTGTTAGGCTTATGTGAACAGAGGGAAGTAGTGAGCTACTTGTAGTGGTTTTAATCTGTTTTATAATTCACAATAAAGATAATGTCTTGCTCTCTGATTATTTTCCTTGTTGGCACACTATAAGTACTCTCCTAGAGATGGGATATTTTTTGAAGGGGTGTTCGCACTGAAGTAGGTGTGAGATACCTGTGAATGTGTAATAGTAAGTTTTGGCTGCAGTAACACTGAACTTTGTATGCTGTCTCATCAGATTCAGAAATGATGACTTCGTATCTGTAGTTCTCTGTGCTGAATGTCTTGGTATCTAAAGTGCTTTTATTTAGGATAAAATGGACTTAAGGGTTGTATGAAGGGAGTAATTGCTTTTTTGATTCTTTTCACTGCCAGAAATGAGCTTTTGCGAACACTAGAAGCATGTGGATTTAAATATCAAGAATTTCTCTTGTCTCCAACCTGTGTGAGTACTAAAATTGCTCAAGTATTTAGCTGTTCAGATTGCACTGGGCCCCCAGACATTTGAAAATGATCTATTGTATTAGAAGAGAGTCGTGCCCAGAGCTGAAGATATTCTTTCAAATGAGAAAGCCATCTGGTGTGACTTCAGATTTCCATCAGTATACTGGCATAATCGTACTGCTGTTACTGTTCAGATCCTAGTCCTGTGTTGCTTTGATACCATTTGATATTTTATAAGAAGGCATGAATTTACACCATGACCGGGAAGCTGGTTTTCCCTGAAGGAGCCTCATTGCTTCAGAAGTGCCGATGCCTGTGGATTTCCCAGCACAGAAATGTGACTGTGTCATTTGTGGGAGGAGGGGCTTTGTTTGCATGTTTTCCTGGCAACTGAAAAAAGAGTTGAGAGAAATTTCAGATGGTGCAAGACTAAATGGAACCAGTGAAGTACTGTATATGTCTGAGTGAAGCTGATAGAGGGTAGCTTGAAAACCAGTTGTGATGCATTTGTTTCATTGTTAGATGTCTTATAATTCCTTGTTCAAAGAGACAAGGAAGTGCCTTTTTGCCTTTTTTATAGCAAACAGTTAGGACGTGTCCCGAGAAATCATGATGCGTGCCACTTTTCTTACCTTGCATAAAAGTTTGTTTACATTCCTGTTCATTTACAGAGAGAGTAAAAACTATGAGGTACAAAGAATAATTGCCCACTTTTTTCCCTAAAAATACCTAGGCATGGAAGTTACAAGTGTTTAGGATATGTTAGTGTGGCGTAGTTCTGTTACTGTATATAGTGGCAGATAACTTGTATGATGCTATAGACCAGTCCCTCTGTCTTTATCACATGGACTAAAGGCTTGTGGATTTTGCTTACAGCTTGGCGTTCCCAATTCTAGGCTGCGGTATTTTCTAATTGCGAAGCTTCACCAAGAACCGTTTTCCTTTCAAGCTCCTGGTCAGGTGAGTCTATCAGTGTTACCTGAATTTGCTTTGTTTCATGAAGATGGAGTGTTAAATTTTCAGTTTAGTGGTGAGTGTTGATGACTGGAGAGAAGGATAAGTGATATCAGCAGAAAAGTTAAATTCTGTCTCTCTTTTCCAGCCTAGATACTGAGTTTTCTAAGGACTGAAATACATGCCAGGTGCTTACGTGGCTTTAAACAGTTGGGAGACAGTGGCTGATAGTGGGCTAGAAAACAGTGCATTCTGCTACCTTTTTCACACCCTTGGAAAGGTCTTTTTTCAAAGGCAATTATTTGTTGTTCCTGACCTCATTGCTGGTAGGTCAGCAGGTCTTGACGCTAATGTTTTTTTAAATCCTCATGAAAATAACATTGAATGGTTACTTGCTTTGTTCTGAGCATCTCTGAAGGAATTCTTACTCACTGTGGAGTGTGCTGTCAAGTTGTTATCAAATGCAGTTCTTTACCTTCCCCGCCCTGCCCCCCCCCCATTTGTTCCTAGATTTTGACGAGATTCCCAGACCAGGATCTAGAAGACTTACTCAAGGACAAAGTTGCTGACAAAGTGGGTGAAGCTGGTTCTTCCTTGTCTTCTGAAGAGAAGAAGCTGTTTCCAAATATTGGTCTTGATTGCGGCAGCAAGAAGAGTTTACCAAAAGGGGCTTTTCTTTTTAAGCTTGAAACAGTAGAAGAAATGGAAAGGAAACATGGTCAGGACAATGATTCCTCTATTCAAATGCTAAAAGATTTCTTGGAAGAGGAAAATGAAGAAATGAGACAGTATTTCTTACCACCGAAGTCCTTACTGCGCTATGCTTTCTTGTTAGACATTGTTAAACCCACCTGCCGGAGATCCACATGCTTTACAAAAGGGTAAGTTGCAAAGAAAATGTCTTGCTGAATCATGTCCTGAAATTTTAAGTATGTTTTTACTTGGATACTGTTAAAACAACGACAGCCATTTCATCAAAAAACCCCCAGGCTTCTGAAAAAATAAAAATCTCCTTATATGGTGCACTTCTGGGTCCAGTGGAATGCCAGAATGAGAATCTGTTTGGCAGAACATCATGTGCCCACTCCCAAAAAGGCATTCAGAAAGATGGTGCTGTTTGTTGTTGACCTTCACAGAAGCTTAATTATCCCTGCGGAAATATGGGTCCAGTAGACTGGTATAGTACTGATTCATTAATGAATTTTTTTATATTGCTCAATGAAGTTACAGAGTGTCATGCATGACAGATCCGTTCCTCATTAAAACTGTCTCCACTGTACATTTTATTGATTTCTTGGATTTTTCAGCTGTGTAGGTAAGAATAGTTTTGGATTGACCATATGTCATAAAACCAGTGAGGCTGCTGCGTTTCAAGTCATGTTTGATGGAGCAGAACATCAGTGGTTTTCTGTCTGGTAGTTTTCTGATTTGTACTTTGCAATGTTGAGTTTGACTGCCAGAGGTGTTGAGTGTTCTGGAAGGCCACGGACCAGCTGGTCAGGAGCTTTTTTAATGAACATTGGAAAATGCCAGTTGGAGCCTGGAAGTTTGTGGGAAATATTAGTATCTCTGAATTTTGCAAATTAGAGTGGTGGGGTTTTTTGTATTCTCAGAATGTTTCAACAAAACGGCTTAGTAGATGAGTTAAAGCTAGTTATAACTAGCCAGATTGACAGAGTTCTGCAGAGTTTGTAATTTCAAGTTTTTGGCAGCAAAAAAGCTGAGAAGAGAAAGAATTTTAAAAGTTCAAAATTTGTGCAACAGGAAGGCCCTTCCTCCAGCTCTCATTGACATACACCTTTTGTGCCCCCACTCTCTTGAATTGTGGGGGAGTCAGCATCTCGTGGAGTCTGTTTCTTAACTAGAATAGTCAAATAAAAACCTTAGGCCAGAATGATCTCTTGCGTATCTCATGTATGCCTTAAGTGTCATCAAAAATAAATTGGCCGCTTGTGGTTTCACTACAGTACGTCATGGTAGTTTGTGGTCATGTTTATCAAAATCACATTGAAGGAGGCTCCTGAGTAGTTAGTATGAAGTCTTTATATATAGTGGTGGGAAACCTGACACGGAGCGTGACTGTTGCCCTTCTGCTGATGTGGAAGGAACCAGGCCAGATAGCTGTGGTAATTCTTCTTGGCTTAAAACGTAGGAATCTGATTTACCGTCTTTGTTCCCTTTTTTAAAATCCTTTGGGAAGGAAGGTTTCCAACATGGTTCTCAATGTGGTCATATAATTTACAGCTCTGCATTAAGAGAAAGATTATGATTACATCTCGGGCGTCATCCAGGTCACTTGCTGAGGCCAAGAATAAGTTGCTGCTGTATGTGTTTTAGGAGTTCTGTTTTGATGTTTCTCCGAAGCATGAGATTTAGGAGAGAGGACCCTGAATGGTGCAGAACAGCACTCCAAGTTGTATAGAGAATCTCTCTGCTACGATGCCTGTTGGTGTCGTGTCTTACAAGTCATACTGATCACCGGCTTTGAGAGTGGGAGACAAATTTCCCTTAGTTCTGATTAGGCTTTAGATGTTTGCAGCAAGGTTTGTATGATGAGGATAATCCAGGTATGCCTTCTCCAGCCCTTGCTAATTTGGGGACCTCAAATGCTGAGTGGTTTTTGCCTTTCTGCCTTTGCCATAGCAGTATGTTGTCTGAAAGGCTTTGGTGGACTATAGGGCACAATATAACAATGTGTGAGAGATCAAGCAGATGATCATGTGTTCCCGTCCAACCTTGGACTCCTAGGCTATTGGAAAATGATTGCTGAGTTCCTTGAGACTACAAATGCCGTGGTTTCTCTCAGGAGTATGTTTGTGGTGACTGAAGTTGTGAGAGGAAATTGTCCATAAGGACAGAGCAAATGAGAAGTACTTCTTTAGGCATAATTGTTCTGGACTTGTAAATTCTTGATATGCTATTGATAAGAGAAGCAATACCTTCTAAATTAGTGTAGTATTAGTTACAGAAACTCTCTGTAGGATTGTGGAAATTACCTTTTTGTTAGTCATAATATAGGACACAATATACCCAGAAATAATGTAATGTGTATGAAATTAAAAGGATTTTTTGAAAGCTTACAGAAATAAAGGGCGGGGGGAAGTCTTGAGTTGGGTGATGGAAGAGTGTAATTTCTGAAGCCAACTTCTTTCATTATAACTGGTAATGAAATGTCAGAAAATCAATACATCATTTTTTACTGTGGCAAAAATTCCCATCTTTAATTATGTTCTGAGTCTAAGGTAGGAACATTAATTTTTCTGTAGTCAGCAGCTGCAATAATAATTAATAACAATCCAGCTAACATTGGCCATCTGCCCACATTTGGGTTAAAAAGCCAACACTCCCTGTCAGCTCCCAGACTTCTTTTACACCAACTGGATTTTTTTGTGAGGAGTTCTGTACTCTAGTGCCAATTATTTAGACTGCATTAGTTTATATAACATGGATCCTGTTTAAAGACTCTTTTTCTCCCCAATAAAACTCTAAAATACCACTTTGAAATTTATCCTCACTTATTTATTTTGGCTTAGATCTATTCATCTGAAATATGATCAGATGCTATATAAGAAGATCAGGATTCCTAGTGCTGTGTGTTGCATTGCCAAACTTGTTGCATTTTCAGAATGCAACTAACGAGTTAAAGGTGATGTATTTACAGCACAGTTCGATTCCATGTGTTTTTAATCCGCATCAGTGTCTAGGGCCTTTTATTCTGATCCTGAGGGAGATTTGCAAGCACTTCATTTCAGAATGTGTGTTGCTCTTGCTAATACTGGCAGAACTACTTGTCAGCTTTTCCAGCTGAAGAAGAAATTCTCAAGCTGGAGCCATGCTGGGTCATTGTGTCTGAAGAGAAACTATTCCTTTATTCATTGTGGAAGTAGAAAAGCTTGAAACAAGAGTTGTTCCAGTGCCTTGCCTTAGGAATGGGCCTCGAGTGGAGCGAAAGACCTTTATAACTGTCTTTACAGACGCACAGATAAAACTAGCAACTAGTATCTGTTAATGGTCGATGCCAACCAAGTCCCTCTAGTGCAGGGGATCTTCTGAAGTTCTTCTACTGTGCAAGAGCCATCTGTTGACTTGACTCAGTCTCTTTCTGCTCGGGACGTGCAAACACTATCATCGTTAGACCAGCAGAGCATATTCCTCAAAGCCCATAATTATATTTAAATGATAGCCTGGAAGAGAGTACAGAGTAAACATGTTACTCAATCAACCACAAAGCATCCAAAAAAGCTATCATATGTTTTAGAATGTTAAGTTTGCTTACTGTTTAGTTCAAGTTAATTTTTTTCTTTTTTTCTTCTGCTGCTCTGCATAATGACTGTCCATCCCCTATCCCTTCCCCCAGTGGAAGATCCACAAGCAAACAAAAGTTAAACCTGGCTGAAGCACGTTGCTCCTAATGTCTTGATAGAGAAGCTGGAGGCTCGCACTAATGGTCTTCCTTTGAACACGGAGAGCCGATTTCAACTCTGGGACTGTTTGGCTTTTTAACATATTTTGCCTTAATGTGATATTGGCCTGTGCATGGAGATGGCCCTTTCTGATGATGCAGTGCTTGGATTCCTTGCCTTTGTGTAGTTGCCTGGTTGCCTTTTATGTAAGGCATTAGTGTGGATAAACCCTTGTGGTCTGATTGCAGACTCTTCCCTGGAGAGCATGTTCTGAGGCTACTGCACTCTTAAGGGTTAACACTGCTAGTAACGAGGCCTTTTGCTTTACCTGTCAGGAGGGTAGTTGTTGATCAAAGAAAAGGAACCTGAGTAACCTCCCTGCATCAACACTATGAGGTCTGATGAAAATATTAATTTAAGATTGTTATTTTTGTTGTCGTTAAGGTACGGACACTATGTAGAGGGGACAGGCTCAGTTCTGCAGACAGCAGCAGATGTACAGGTAAGAATGTGTGGACTGACATAGGAGAATGACTTGGGTGTTTTTTCTGTCTTCTGCTTTGTTATACTGAATGTTATAACAAAAAAGCTTTTTAAACTACATTTTATGGCAACTGAGTTTCCAATTGATTTACTTTGTGTTCCTAAACAACAGTTTATTTAAATCAAAATTATATGTGTGTGTCTCTGGAGATTATGAGTTGCTATTATTTTATTATCTGTAGTGTCATATAGAGGTTTCACAGGGATATGTGAAAACATTAAAAATGACTAATTCTATGGATAAACTACAGTACTGTGTTGTGAAGCCAGAGACATTGTTTTGTACGCAGATGATCCAGTAAATATTGTCAGTTTAATGTGTTTGAATTTCAAAAGTATTATTTATCTGGGAAGACATAGTATTTTGAAGAGTTCTACTGTTGATACTAAGTTCACCAGAGTGGTATTTTGGCATTGGGGGAGGTAAAAATAAATGTATTAATGAATCATCGTTCAAAGATACTTTTCACAAAGCCTGTTTTGTACACAAGCACCTCCTCTTGCACTTCTTTGCTGTTCACTAGTATTATATGGCATTTCTAAGCGTAAAAAGAGTGCAGCTTTGGAATAATCTCAAAGCGAATGCATTAAACAGCTGCATCCATACAGCTTAATTTGTGTGTATCGTCTGCTGTGGGGTTATGTTAAGTCGCTATGCTGTCATTAACAAATGTTTATAGACCTTTGATTGCCTCACCAAGTGTTGGTATGGCTTGTAACTGGAGGAAGAAATGATGAACGCCCTCCTGGCAACATTGATTTCTTTCTTACAAGTCCATGTGTTGAGAAAATTGGTTGCAAAAATACACCACCGATCATACTTTGAAGCAAGCCATGCTATTGTCTTTGACACTGTGAAAATTGGAGGAATATTCTGTTAAGATGTGTGTGTGAAGTTTTATGTATTTGGCCTGCATTGGTGATACTTATTGTTTTGGATGTTCTTCATAGCTTGAATCGGTGTTTAAACGCATTGAGGAGTTGCCAGAAGAAGAGAAGCTTACAAAATTGTCAACGCTAAAACTGAGGTACTTTACTCCAAGAGAAATAGCAAATCTTCATGGATTCCCTGTGGAATTTGGTATGTGCTACAAAACGTCCGTTTCTATATCATTCTTCAGAAATGCCAATCTAGGCTTTCTACTGGGGACTAGTCCATGCTTTTTATGGATGTCTTTTCGGACTGCTCAATTCTTATGACTGACTAGTGTTACTTGGCTAACTCTGAGTTTCTCTGAATTTCCATTAGTTTTTTATATTTTGTAAGAGACAGCTTCTGCGGTTAGGATTATCTTCATAAACTGAGAAAAAAGTTTTGGCATGAGAAATGCTCTGTTACTGAATGGCAATGAAGGAATACCTTTGTTTAAAGTTGAAACTATTTACTCAGCAGCCAGCGTTACTCACAACTGTGGTAAGCAAACGTACCCTGCCGGTTTAGGAGGTCTGTTAGTGGTTTTCGGTGTTTGAGCTGCTTGCTTTCTCTCTTCCACATGTTTGCAGCTGCTGACAGAAATGGAATTTCAGAAGATACAGCTACTTCTTTGTTCAAGAATAACCAAACTCTTCAGTTAATGGTCTTTTAAGTCATCTTGTGTTTTCTAGAAAAGGCAGTCCTAGCCCTTGGTCAATTACTTAATTTTCTGACTGTTTTTGTGGAGAAGAGGGAGTCAAGGAGCAAGACTCGGTAATACCAGTACTTGGGGGACAGGTCAAGCAGAATTAAGCCTGAAATAAATTCACCCTTCTAAAGAAAGGCAGGCAGGAAAGTGTAGCTGTTCCTGCCTGCTAAGGAGCTTGGCCTGCTGCTGTCATACCAGATCAATTTATTGTCTCAGTAACATCTGTCAACTAAGACACCACTGATCTTGACTAATTTGTTGTATTTTTTGTTCAGCTTCCTCAGTGACTTAGAGTTGTGAGGAATGGTAATAGTTCTTAAGTATTTCTTTCTTTTGCAGTTTTAGTTGGTTTTCTCATTTATAATTTACAGATATATTCAAAATGACTACATTCAGAGAACATTATCAAGGTTGGAAAGTTAAATGTTAGAGTTGCCAGCACTAAGCTTAGTCGTTTAAGACTATTTGCAGGAGTCTGCTGTGTTGAGTTAGGTGCCAACATGCAGGAGTTCTTAGAGCCTCTCTTCTTCAATAAATTTGGCCTTTTGCAGACAGCCGCCTTCTTAGCACAGCTCTGTTCCATATGGCTGTAGGCTGCTGTAAAGAAACTTGAGCTAAACAGGGCTGGATTGGGCTCACATAGGTTTATTGTGCTGTTCAGGCTCCCTTTTGAGCGCAGAATTGCCTGTCCCCCCCCCCCCCCCGCCACTTCTTTCTCTCTCAAAAGCAACAAACAAAACACCACCTTGTGTTTTCCAAATGTTAAATCAGTCTTTGCAACATCACTGAGAGGTGTAGTAGGGTTAGTGGAAGTCTGTTAATTTAGGGTGATCACTTTGCAAAACCTGACCTGTTTCAGAGTGTTGGGAACAATGCCATGCTTTCTCTGGTCAGCGCTCGTCTTCAGGGACAGCTGTGAGCTTCAGTGTTTTTGCAAACCAGAACTGAACTCTCAAGACAAATCAGGCTTCCAAATTTGAGGAGCATCCAGGTTGTCGCCATCTGCAAGTTGCTCATTTAGCAAACTTGTCTCTTGTCACCTGGGAACTGTGGAGGGAGCTACAAGGACAGATTCCACCTCTTGGAGGGCAGTACCCTTCTGCCTTAATCATGAGGCCTTCTTTACACTTGGTGCGGTTCCTCACCTTGCTATGCTGCTTTTCCATCTTCCAAAGCACGGGAAACGGGAAACGAGCCTCTCTCCTGTAGTGGCATCCTCTCGCATATGCTCTTGACTCATAGGCAGAACAAGCCTTTCCGGCTGCGCTGAGTCACAAGTCTGACATTTCTTTCCTTTGTGTTTAAGACATTTCCCACTTTGTACTTAAAAAAAAAAAAAAAAAAAAAGGTGTTACTCAGCTCTAGGCTGATTGAAATCCCTGGTGAATTTAGGTTCTGTAATCTAAGCTGCTTTTGACGATTTTCCAATCGATGTTTTGGTTTGGTGTTTTTTTTTTTTTTTTTTTTGGAAGTTGCTATATTTGTAACCACAGCAAAGGGTGTTTCCCTGACAGCATTTCTCCCATGTTAAATTTCAAGTATAGTATTTTCAGAGGGAAATGTGCTATAATTTCTCTGCTCCTGAGTTCTGTAGCAACAGCAACATTTGGGCTGAAATTTTCAACAACAGAAAGCCTGGAGCTGTACCCACTGCAAATATGTTGTTGGTCCAAGAAGCTAAAGAATAAGAAAACTATAAGCTGAAAATCAAGTGATGAGAATGACAGGAAGCTTTGTAGCAGATGCTGTGACTAGCTGCAGCTATGGTATTACCAGAAGAAATGTGATTGTGTGTAAATGGTTTGGTATTTTAACAAACTGGTGGCCTTTTCCAGTACGTGAGATCCAGAGTTAACGTCATTGTTCATTGTTAATGTTAACAGATTTATTTGTACTTTTAACATCAAAATGTGTAAGTAGGAATTGCACTATAGGTCGATGAAAGACTGCAGTCATTTGTCTTGGCTGGTGCTGTGGGTCCCACAGCAATATCATTAAAAGAGATCAGAGCATTCTTGCACCTGGGACCTGCTTTCATGAGAGTGATGTCAGGATGCCTTTCCCATTTTTCCTGTTAGTGATGTGTGTTAGCTGTTAGGAACCAAATGGCAGCCTCGTGGAAAGCCAGCACAGTGTGGTAGCGTGCATAGCCAAGGCTGCAACATCATCAAGTAGCACGTATGGACCAAGCAATACAGGGAGAGCTATGCAGCGGCTGCCAGCGTGCTGTGAGCTGTTAAATCTGTCCTGATGCTGGCTGCTCTTGAGCCAAGAAGATAGAAGGTGCAAGATGACATTAATAGGCAGATGGAGGAGGCTTGGGATAAAGGAAACAGTGAGCCCTGAAAATTAATTCAGGCTTTCAGTTGGCAAGAGGCAGAAGGAGAAATTCTGAAATTTTCAGGGTTCAGATAAGTTTCTTGGGCTACAAGTGCATGTTTCTTGGGCGTAAATACAAATTTATTTTTATATACTCTCTCAAAATGTGTGGATTCTGTACCTTACACAGTGATTTAATGTGAAAACTCCATCTAAGGAAGTGTGTATGGGAGTGCAAGTGATTTTTCCAAAGAGAGAGGGACAGTTGCCCAAATGTGAGTGCTAGGAAGCTGGGCAGAGTGGATGGAGCTGGCAGAAGATGTGTTTACCAAAGCAGTCCACATTTGAGGCATTAATAACTGGCAGAGAAGGATGGAACAACTCCTCCCAGACACCACCTCCTCAGCTTTCCACCCTTGGCTCAGCAGCTGTCCAACTGTGTTCTCTCCTGAGCGATCCCTGGAGGAGGAATTTTTTCGAAGTGCTATGAAAACTTCAGAACATGTGTATCGCTACTTGCATGCACATCACGTTTATGCATCAAAGCTAATCTGGCTGGTGATGACCTTGGGCTCAAAGTTAGGTTTTCTTCTTAGGTAGTGATCAAATAATTGAATGTGATCAACTTTCAGCAGCTTAGCAGGTGACCCTAGTTGGTGAATCACCACTGCTGTTCATCATCCACTGAAGTTTGAAGCAAATGCCCTTTAGCTCACGGCAGGAGTAAGCTGAGGGTACAAGCAAGGACGGTTACGGCAGACCAGCAGTTCAGAAGTACAGTGTAAAGCTGAATGGGAAATGCGGTTTAGTCCCTCTGCAGAATCATGACTGACTTTCTGCCACGGCCATGTTCCCCTGTTGATGTTCTCTAGCGTGGCGGTTGTGCAGTGCTTTAGCTCCTGCTGCCCCTCTGTGAGACTCCTGGATGTTTTGAGGCTTCTTGTTAAACGCGAGGGACAGCAGCACTGCTAACGGAAAAGCTGGTACAACCCCAATGAACTGGTTGAAAATTCTTTTTGTAACTTTGTGAATTGTAGAGGGCAGGGGTGAACCCCGCTGCAATCTGTGATAACTGCATTGAGAACTGTTCCCTGAAAGAAAGGAGCAGACTAAAAGCTAGGAACAAACACAGACTAATGACTCTGCATTATATGTTTTTGTTTTAGGCTTTCCTGACAAAGTGACAATAAAGCAACGCTATCGTCTTCTGGGAAACAGCCTCAATGTACGTGTGGTGGCAAAATTGATCTGTGTTCTGCTTGAGTAATTTGCAGCCTGCATCTGAGGAGCACGGACTGGTGACAGAAAATACTTCCATCTTTCCAGAGAAAGCTGATGGCAGCTGAACAAAAATCATAGCTTACTGAAATACCCGTTCAGACGTTTTGCTGAACAGTTCTGATATATTTTAATACCTTTTACGGTGTATTTGCACTGTAGAGGTGTTTTGTTTAAATGGGAGTTTCCAGGACTGAATTGCTTTATTTAACTATCCTTTTTTGTTTGCAAAATGAAAAAGAGCAGCATTTACATATACCTCAATGAAAATGGATAAGACTATTTTATTTTGGCTCAAAACAGTGTTCAGTTTAAACAGTATAAAAAGACAGTAAATGTAAAAGTTGTTTTAATTAAGGGCAGAGACCAAGTTCTACATTTAAGATGTCTTCATCTGTAAATGAGTCATCCATTTTTACAAGGTTTATTGTATGTATGATCTGAAATTTTGATGTGTTTTTTTTAAGCTAACTAAACTATTGAGTATTTTGTATGTGATTTTTAAGAAGGCACAGTGTCATCCGTAGTTTTTGGTTTTCTCCTCCTCCCTAAATACTTGCAGGTTTCTGGAACCCAACTGTACCTGTCTGCAATGATTTGTTTAGGTGCAGCTGAATAAAAAAATACTTCATGATTATAAGAACTGTGACAAAACTTGCCTGTTTCTGTTCTCATTTGTTCAAGATAAGATCACTGTTCTTTACCAAAGACCTACACATAAAAGGCAAAAACTGCAAGTCATGCAAAAACTAATAAGAAGGGCTGCTACGAGTGTGTCAGCCAGGAAAGGAAGGTCAAAGAAAGTGTACCCCCATGGTGAGTGAGACTGGCAAGCTGGTAACAGGAGATGAAGAGACGGCTGAGGTACTCAGCAACTTTTTTGCCTCGGTCTTCTCTGGCATCCCCTCTTCCCACACATCTTGAGTAGATGGGCTGCAAGACAGGGACTGGGGGAGCATAATCCCTCCCACTGTAAGAGAAGATCAGGTTTGTGACCACTGGAGGGATATGAACATCCATAAGTCTATGGGACCTGACAAGATGCATCCCAGAGTTCTGAGGGAATTGGCTGATGTAGTTCCAAAGCCACTCTCCATGACATTTGAAAAGTCATGGCAGTCAGGTGAAGTCCCTAGTGACTGGGAAAAAGGAAACATTTTTAAAAAAACATAAAAAGCAGAACCACCCCGCATGTCACCCTCACCTCTGGGCCTGGGAAGATCATGGAACAGATCCTCCTAGAAGCTCTGCTAGGGCACATGGAGGTGACTTGGGACAGCCAGCATGGCTTCACCAAGGGCAAGTCCATCATGGACAAGGGAAGAGCTACGGATGTTGTCTATTTGGACTTCTGCAAGGCCTTTGACACAGTCCCACACAACATCCTTCTCTCTAAATTGGAGAGGTATGGGTTGGATGGATGGACTGTTCGGTTGGTGAGGAACTGGTTGGCTGGTCACAGCCAGAGGGCAGTGGTCAATGGCTTGATGTCCAGATAGAGATTGGTGGTGACATCCCTCAGGGGTCTGTACTGGGATCAGTGCTGTTTAATATCTTCATCAGTGACATAGACAGTGGGATTGAGTGCACCCTCAGCAAGTTTAAAGATGACACCAAGCTGAGTGGTGGAGTTGATGCACTGGAGGCATGGGATTGTGTCAAGAGGGACCTGGACAAGCTTGAGAAGT